GTCGTCCATGGGAATTGAACCTTAGACCTGCCACTTGAGGGTTGACAACCTATCCACTTCACTAGGTCGCCACACCCTTTAAGAATATATTTCATAAGCAAAGTATATTCTATATTATTAATAAATTATTATTTTATTTAAAAAATACTAAATAAAATTTAATTTTTTAAATAACTTTGTTTGAAATATGATTTAAATTATTTTATATTAATAATAATACAAAATAAACTATATAATTAACTAGATCTTATACAAATAAATTTGCAAATATTTTGCTTTTTTGTGATTTATAGTAATTTTTTTATTGTTTTTTATCTTAAATATATATGTTTACTTTACATTGTCTTTTTGCTTTAATGTTGTTTAAACATTAAATCAATTAAAAAATTAAAAATGTTAGATTATTTTTTATAAATTATTTATATACGTATTATTTTATTTACTTTATATAGAATAAATAAAACTACAGTATATAAAAACATTAAATTTTTTAATACTTTGATTAGTAAATATTTTAAAACCATAATACAAATTTACTATATATATATAATAAAAAGATATTTAATATATATTAGTAGAATCCCAACAAAATTTTGTTTGCAGTTTTCCGAGTGAATCCAAAACTTCCATATCCTATTACAATGTCAAGTTAACAATATATTTTTTAAAAAAATAAAACAATTATAATTATATATATATATTGCATTTGAAGTTGTGATTTATCTGGAGTTACCAGTTTAGATATCTAAAGTAACAGCACCTGACTAAAATTAAGCTCTAAAATTAGATTAGATATCTAAAATGACAACTTTATATAAGTAACAACTTAAGATACAATATATATATATATATATATATATAAACAAACCTCATTTGATAACTCAAACTTAAAAATATTTATATTTTCTTTAATCCTTTCCGCATTAGTAGATTTGGGTATAACAATAAACCCATGTTGATGTCCCCATCTCAACAAAAGCTGTGCTACACTAACCATATTTTTCCTTGCAATGTCCTTGATCACTGATATTTCAACTTCTCCATTAACTAATTTACCTTCTCCTAAACTTGAGTATGCTTGAACTAAAATATTATGTTTTCGACATAAATCAATTAATTCTTTTTGATAATATAATGGATGTAATTCAACTTGTAAAACTGCAGGAATAATGGTACAATGAGATAATAGATCAGTCAAATGACGATGAGTATAATTGCTCACTCCAATGGCTCGAATTTTTCCAGAAGTATAAAGATCTTCAAGAGCTTTGTAGCTGGCTTTACGATTTATGCCATTTTGTGGGTCTGAAGGTTTTAATTTTTGAGTTCTTTTTACAAAAATAATATAAGTTCAATTAATAAATTTTTTTTTCAAATATATAATCAATCATCTCTAAATATAATAATATTATGAAATCCTAAATTTAGAATTGTACAGTAAATAAAAGATATTTGAAAAGAAACAAAGATTTACCCAGGCCAATGAATTAAAAACAAATCAAGGTAGTCCATATTAAATCGTTGTAAAGACGATAGTAATGCTAAAATAAAATTATACATTAACATATATTAACATACGTTAATTATATTAAACATGTCTTATAAAGTACCTTGATAACAATTATCATATCCTTGATCTTTTGGAGCTAATTAAAATAAATTAAATAAATTAGACAAATTAAAGAACTAAAAAAACAATAAACTTAACTCATATACTAACGAAGCTTGCTTGTAATAAAAAAATCTTCTCGTTTTAAATTCAATGAAGTATCTTTGATTAATTCATTAACAACTTTTCCTATAGTTTCTTCATTCCTGTATCCAATTGCGGAATCTACATAAAGAAATTATAATATTAAAACAAATAAACTTGAAAAAATATATATATACACGGGCTGCCGTCAATAGAAATCAAGCAGATTGACATTTTAAACAAATTAATGCCTTAACTTTCACTGTTAATATCTTGATAAATTTCGAAGATCTTATTATGAATGAATAGTCAAATGAAAGCTTAAGATCTAAGCTTTCTTTTGACTATCCAATCATGAGAATAGCTTCAAAATTCATCGAGATATGAGCAGTGAAATTTAAAGTCTTAATTTTTTTAAAAAATGTCAATCTGCTTTGATTTCTATTGACGACAGCCCATATATATATATATTTTTTTTTTAAAAAAAAAATTTTTTTTAATACCAATTAGCCTGTAACCAGACGATACAGCATTTTTTATGACAAACTCCACGGTTTCGGGATCTACTATACGATATGTACCCACTTTGGATAAATCGAAAGGAAAAAGGATTTAGGTAAATTATCAAAAAAAATACAATACAGTCGCACCCCCTAAATGCAAGTACTATGTAAAACCTCTCTAAATGCACGATATGGTTTAGCCCCAACATATAAGAACCCTATGTATTTATTCTCTATAAGTGCAAACCTCTTCTAAGTGCAAAATTTCAATTTTTTTCACTATGGTCCCGATGGGAGGTGCAACTGTAGTTTATTTAATGATGACCTTACAGCCTAGAGCAGGAATCGTAATTCCATTATTAAGAACAAATTTTGGAATTGAATTCATTTTATTTTATTTTTTTTGATCGATATATCTATATATTGATAATCCAGTAATCACGTGTATATAAAAAATTTTGAAATCAGATATCGATATCGACGATACATTGAGTAATTAAAGTCCGCTATGCTGTTTATAAGAGGTAGTTTCGAGTGTAACACTACCATCTACCGGCAGCTACCGGTAGAATAATGGTTATTTGGGAGAATAGTTATACCATGCTATACGGCATTATACCTGGTATATAATATACTAAATATTATTGAATTATCACATTTGTGATCTCGAATCCGCCCATATGGATTTATGCAAAGGAGAATTTATTAATAATGTTGGGTTCATCAATTCGAAAAAGTTTAAATTTAAAATAAGTGTCAAAATGAGATTGGCTTTTTTTCATATCACATGACTAAATAAATACTTTTTATCAAGTTGTAGCATATATAATTGCGCTCTAATAGCTAAAAATCGTATTATCGTTATTTTTTTTATAAGGCGATACTTTGTACACGTAATATCTTGAGAATAAGTTCGTAATATAAATTTTTCTACTATAACATGAATACGTTATATCAATATGCCTGAATTATATATATTTTAATATGTGTAAATGAGAGTAACGAGTAAAATTAAAATTGTATTAATTCGCTTAATGATGATTTAAGAACTGCATCAGGAAATTGTTGATTAAGTGCTTGAATAAGTTCTATTAGTTCTTGGCGTGTTTGATCCTTAAGTTGATCTTCAGGTGGGGAAAGAATTTTCGCAAATATATTCAGCAACTCGTGAATATGATTAAAAACCTGTAAATAATTTAAAATTAATTATATTGTTTTTAAAATATATCAATTAAATTATCACTTACAAATGAATTATTAGCTCTGAAAAGCATGATTATGCATTTCAAAACGGGTTCATTTTCTTCAAAATCTCGTTTTAATGGTAACGTTTGCAATACTACTTCTAACACCTTCAAAATTATTATTATTAATGATTTTTAAGCGTATATATCGGATAATAAATAACAAGATTACCTGCTCCATTGGCACTGCTTGAGGACAAGCCATAATCATTCTACATACTGCTCCGCATGCATTATCCGTGACATTCATTAATGATTGTCCTGTAAATAAAGGGTGCAGTCTAGAAAGTATATCTCCATATTGGCTATAAATTAAACATAACGTGCAGCTATTAAATAAATAAACTTTCTTTTCCTTTTTTACATAAAAATAAAATAATTTTAATCGATTATTCACCTACTAATATCTACGCGTGTATGTTGACAAAGAAGACCAACTGCAAAAGCAGCGTTGCTTCGAACTTCATCATCTTCATCAGCCAAAGCTTTTAGATATAAAGGTAAAAGTTGCTATAAAGTATATAAAAATATATATTGCATAATCAATATATACTTAATCCTGAGATTATAAAATAATTATCTTACATCGGTAAATTCTGATATCCCATCTTTTAAACCAATCGTGGTTTCTCCAAGACACCCAATTGCCATAGATCTTTCAGAAGTTGGTTTTGTTTTTTTCTAAAAAATATTAAATTGTGAAACTAAGGTAAAATACGATATCACTCAATATAAACTTAGATTATGAACATACATAATATTTGGCAATATAATGAATATATTCTTTGAAATAGGGAACAAAGTCATTTCCAAGAATCAAAGCCATCGCTGCAACAAGATCTGATGCATTGTTTATAAGAAGCGAATCATATTCTGCTTCGTCATCGTCATCCAGGAGACCTTCATCATCATCATTATCTTGCTGACACACAGCTTTTTTCTGATAAAGTAAAAGAATATTTTCTGCAATCGGCCTTATATCTTATGAGGTTCAAAAATAAAGTGAATAACATACATGGCATCACATGCAATGATAAGCAAGAATACTTACAATCGGAAATTATAGCGGGACCACAAATTTTGATAGTATCGGCAAGTTCGGCACAAATTTGAATTACTACAAGTCTTAGAAAAGAAATATTACGTAGTCAGGTACATTATAACAATTTTTAACTATCGTATAAATTGGTGTTCAGTGTAATTTTTGTCGTGATCACATTAAAATCATAATGAGCTGGGTAATAGCAAGTAATTCATCATATTATCAATCATAAAAAATATTTTCATAGATTTCTTACTTGCTTTCTTCGTCTTCCCACATGGTTAATATCGTTGATATGACGGCTTTGGCCATATTATACACATTTTCATGTATAAGAACTTTCTTTAGATGGAAGACAAAAATGATCAGACTGCAATTTAATTAATATTTAAACCCAAATTTTAATCATAAAATGTACCACAGGTAAGCCGGGTTCCCATTTGGTAGAGTTTGACATACTATAAAATGTGGCCAAAAAGCTAAATAAAGATCCAACAACCACTTTCCTTACACTCTCTGAATGATGATTCGAAAGTTTTATCAACTCTTGGAGAGTAGATTCTACATAGGGAAGAAAATGGGATCGTGTGTTTTCAAATATTTCACCGATTGCTTCGGCAGCTACTTCTTTTTCATCGACTACTGCAGTACCGATGGTAATTTCGGTATCCTCCTCATCATCAATATCTAAGTCGCATAGATCCTCCTCCTCTGTTATTAGACATTGCATAATATAAAGCATTTATAAAAGTTTCTCATAAAATTTTTGATCATTTTAACAATATACCTTCAACACTAAGTATAGTATGTTCTTCCATTTGACAGCTTTTTATTAATTGTGGCATTATCGTGCTTAAATATGATGCGAATTCTTCTTTAAATACGCGAGATAAGACTGCAAATAAACAATAACTACACTCGCGAAGACGTGCCGAATCCTTATGCAAGCCTTCAATAGCTAGACGCATGATATCATCAACATATGGCTAAAAATAACAACCAAAAATCAATTTAGCTTAATTCGTAGTAACTTAACATATTTTAAGAATTCTACGTACTTGTATCACTTCTTTTCCCACTGCCTCGGCAATTGCGCCTACAGTGTCAGTAGCTACTCCACGTAAAACAATATCTTCATCTGTTTGACTTAGTGACATTAATATTTGTAGTCGACTGATCACTTCTTGGAAATATGGCTTGAATTCCTATCATGTCACCATTTATTAATACGAAAAATAATTTCGTCGAATGCTCAGTAATAGTAAATAAATAATTACTTCGCCAGATGCATGAGCAGCACTTCCAATGGCTGCAATAACTGCGTCTTTTATTTCATTTGCGCCATTATCCATTAAAATAAGAAGCCTCTCCATCACTGCAGGTAAATATTGAAGAATTTCATCACCTAATCCTTCTAAGATAAGATCAAGCGCATTGCAAGCTTGTTTTACAATCTCCGTGCTTGTGTCATTCGTAAGTTCAAAGATCAATGGTAGCAAAGTTGCATGATTTGCAGCGATTTCTTGGTCTAGCTCCTCTACATTCGCAATATTTAAAAGTTTAAAGATTAATTTATTATTTCAATTGATTAATGAAAACTATGTAATTATACTATTTAGACAAACCTGCTAAACAGCTTAACGCTAAGCAAGCACCTCTACGAACAATAATTTCAGGATCACGTAAGCCATTGTAAACAATGGGTAATAAGTCATTGAATTTTGGGCGCATATAATCCGAACATCCTTCAATAAGAACCTTAAGAGTAATTGAGTTCAGTTAAAATAGGAACAAATATTTATTATTCAATACCTCAGATGACATCAACAACATACAGCGAAAGCCATCATTCCAGCTTTCCTGAATTTTGGGTTAGAATTTTGGACGTATGCGGTAATATAATCCATAGCAACAGGAAAAACTTGTTGGGGTGGCAATTTCGTCGCCAATGAATTTATCACTCTAAAAGACATCTATTCAATTTAATTATCAAATTAAAATATAATGGTAAATGCATAATTTGATTGTATCTTTTTAAAATCAATTTATAGTTACTCTAGATGGTGAATCTTCGTCTATATCTTCAGGGTCATCTTCAGTACCAATTGGCATTAATTCTTGAATGATAGGACCGATAAGCTTAAGTCTTTGAATTTTAGCTTTTTTACTGAATAATTACATATTATATAACGAAATTATTAAAATTATTTATGAATCATTCGTTCGCAATACGAATACTCACTATGTAGCAACCCATATTAAAAATTGTAAAGCTATTATACGAACGGGTTCATCATATTCGATATTGCGTGCCACAGTAAGGGCAAATTCAATGAGTTGTGGTAAATGATTTGACAAAAGGGGAGCATCCTGTGACATAAATGAATTAAAATCACTAATAACAATGAATGATGACAAATATGAAAATGTTTTATAATTTTATACCATCATGAGCAATGTTTCAAATAGCTCAAAACCTTTAATTGTAGAGTCACTATCACCGTCTTTTAAACATTGTATAAGAATATTAACCATAGGGGGTATTAAATCTCGAAAAATTTGCTAATTACAAATGGAAATAAAAAATTTAGTCAAGGGATAGTAAAATAATGATTTACTTAATATTCATGAAAAGTCATACAATCTCTTCCTTTTTATCTGGCTCTATAAATTCTGCGACTCTCCCTAAAGCTCTTAATAAATCCAAAATAAATTTAATATATATTTTTAACCAATCATATATTATTATTATTAAAAATATAAATAATAACTAACAACTTACTGCATTGTGGTTACACGGACAGCTTGACTTTCAGGGTCGTTGAGAGCATCGCCAAATAATTGTAGTAATTGAAGGAGATTATCCGCAAAAACATCTTCCATGACTTCCAACAAAGTAAAAAGAACGAATATCCCCACCTTGAATAACAAATAATTATATTCAAAGTTGGTTTGAAAAATAACAATTTTTCGATTAGTTTTAAATAGTTATTTTACCTCACGTTGACCAGCATTTTGACTTTTACAACATTGGTATAAGAATTGAAGCAAATCATTCCAATTGCCAGCCGGTATTTCAATTTTACCAATAGATGATATAACACGTGCAGTAGCATGACGTACAATATTTCTAAATTATATTAAAGTTAAAGAACGGAAAGATTTTATAATATACAAGTTAAATTTGATACATACTCCGGTTCTTGTAAAATAATCTCAAGTAAACGTGATTTGATTGTTGATTGTAAATTTACATCAATTTTTGACCACCATTTAGGGCCGCGCTTCCTTAACTCAATAGCTGCAAGCTGTCGTACCTAATAAATCGAAATCATATGAGGATTATAATCAATCTATAAAAGCATTATAGTACTTATATTAGGACGCGAATTTCAAACCTGCCAACTTGGAGAACTCGATAATATGTGAACGAAAGCTGGCACACAAGAAACTGAATTATAATCATTATTCAAAGCGGATGTGACCTTAAGATACATATAAGAAGTTTTAAGATGTATGATATTAGATATCACGTATTAAGAACATAGGCTGTCACTATTTTCATTCGTATACCGTTCTTATCCGCGCTGTATCAGTGTCACTAGAAACCAACTGAGTAAGCAGTCCTTCTAACCCATTAATAAATTCTTGTTGCTGTAAAATACGCGTAAAACAATAAAGTCAAAAAGGGATGAATATAAAGATTGTGTAGATTTAATAATCTATAATTACCTCCATTTATTATTTTTTATTTTATAAAAAACGCAACTCGACCGATTTTTTTCGTCGTCCTGATTAAAAATTATAGGAAATTTTTGATTTGATTGGTCGATGAAACTAGATGTGATATGATAAGGTCAATGTAATCTAGTCCGTGCAAAAATATATGCTTAATAAATAGTACGATAGCTATATTCATTATAATACGTACAAAACTGCTTTTTATATTGAGATAGATAAGAATCTCCAGTTTCTAAGTAACTTCCGTCATTACAACATTACCTAAAGGATATTGCGGCTCGGCTATATAGGACATTTAATATCAATTCTTTCAATTGTATAATCGCATTAACTATTCTACCAATCAATAAAATATACACTTCTTCCGTCTATTTTTTTCTTAGATTTTTAATATTTCCAAATCTTCGAATTATTTGTTTAAATTTAATTCAATGATTTTAACCTTTTTTTGAAGTTTAGACGACTTGGAAATAGAGGCATTTGCTAATATATTATTATATACAGTATACTATAATTGCATCTGTGCACACTCTCACCGTTACTAGAATTTGTTTCATCTCTTAGTTTGTAGAATTTCCTTTGAAAAGAGGTGGTATTCATAATAACCAAAATAACGATCATACTAGTTATGCCAGTTGTTATATCAAATGTGTGTTTTTTTTTTTTTTTTGTTAAGGTGACCTTTTTGATCTTTTACTTTTATTAACGATTTTTTTGGTAATGTGATTCTATGAACCATTACAGGAGAGCATACAATTGGCTACATGTGTAACTTTTCTATATTACCTAGTTTGCCTGAAGGTTTCTCATCAATTGTTATATCTAACATCTTTGTTTGAGTGTTTTACTTTAAACCTTTTGAATTTGCAATTTGTATTAATATTATTAGGTTATACTCAGATGCTCAAATTATTGTCTCAATCTTAAGATTATTTTATCCTTGAGATAAATTTTTTAGAGTTTTTTGTATTTATTTTTATAGTTAATTTAGAATTGTTATAATAGAACCAACACTTGCAGTCAAAGTTATATCATTTAATTATTATGTTTTTATAGAGTTTACACAGATTCTAGCATCTATTTTATAGTATAATTTCAATATTTTAATATATTTTTATCTTTTTATTTGTTTTTTTACTAGACTTCTAATCCAGATAGTTTATATAAGATTATAATCAGTTTATCAATATATCAGATTAGTCTGAAATCTTTTTCTTTTGTTTCATTCTGATAACTTAATTGATAATATCTTTGAGACTCTTAACTCAAAAGTTCTAGTCTGTTTGAGTATTATGATTAGATATTATGATCTTAATATTTATTTCTTGAACTAGTTTTTATAATAAAGTCATCAAAGATCTGGTTATCTTTTTATTCAAGTCTTCTTAAATGGACTTTTTGTTATTTAATTTTAATAGATTTATATAATTATAAGAATTTATCTAGTGTTTGTATTAAGTAATAGAATAGTGGGCTTTTTAGGTACACAGTTGTGTTTTTTTTGATAACACTATTCATTCTTGTTTTTTTTTCA